CTGGGGCTCGGACTCCGCGCGGGACCGCGCCCTCGAGCCGCGCACCCCGCCCGGGCCTCGCCGGGAGAAGGCCGGGGGTGCGAACGCGCGAGTCCGGCGGGGTGCAGGGGCCCCAGGAGACTGATGTTTTGTGTTTAGTGTTTGTTAGTAGAGAAAAGCAGCAGGGGAGCGGCGATGAGGCTCTGCCGTTGACAGGCACTTTGACAATGGAGGAACCTGAGTAAGGAGGGAGCTGCGGGAGACCTAATCCGAGGAGCATTAACGCCGCGATCAGCTGTGGTCCCTGCAGGGGACCTTGCGCGCATGCCGTTACTGAGATGTTCCCCCAGAGTGCCTTACCTGGGTGAAAATGCAAAAATAACTTTGATCTTTCTCGGTTTAACTGCACAAGCCGCTTTCTATCGGCCGTGAAGATTATCTGCACAGAGTCATCGCCTTGTCTTCTGGCGTTCTCTAAGCCCCCTGCTGGATTTTATCGGACTTCTTAGTTGTTCCGTGGTGTATTGAGGACACAGCCGTGGCTCTCTGGGGACAAGATGTATGGCTAAGCTTAACGTTTTCCTTCTTTTTGTTTTAGCGTTGACAAACTGAAATGCCTTGAGGAAGGTGAAGACCCAGAAGTCATCCCAGAGGATACTGAACTGGTGACTTTGAGGTATGGATGACTTTGCCTTGGTTATGTTTTACTTACTTATTTATTTGTTTTGCAGGTGTTGTGTTTTGTTTTGTTGTGTTGTGTTTTGTTTTGAGACAAGGTCTCACTGTGTGGCTCAAGCTGACCTGAAATTCACTATGTAGCCCAGGCTGGTCTTGAACTTTTGGTGATCCTCCTGCCTCAGCCTCTTCAGTGCTGGGATTACAGGCCTGTGCCACCACTCCTGCTAGTTATATGTTACTTATTTAATTTTTGGTGTCAGGATCGAACCCAGAGCCCTGTACATGCTAACTACCACTGAGCTATACTGCCAGCCCTTGGGTACTTATTTAAACTTATTTTTGAACGTTATATTTTGAAAATTTGAAAGTATAGTATTCTTATCCATATGCCCACCCCTTAAGTTCAACTGTTGTTAATACTTGGCCCTGTTTTCCTTATCTGGATAAGTATGAGATGCAGATATGTCTTTTTTTCTTGCTGTACTATTCAGTAAATTGTAAATATCATAATTTACCCCTAAGTACTCCAACATAGAGCTCCTAAAAGTATGGAGGTATTATTAGACTTAAGAAAACTTAAAATTTTCAATCTCTGATATCCCATCCATATTCAAATTTGTACTTAAAGTTTTTTTAGAGGAGGAGAAACCCAGGGTCTTTGCATTCAGCTACATTTCTGGCCCTTTTTATTGTTTATTTTGAGACAGGGTCTTACTAACTCACTAAATTGCTCAGGCTGGACTTGAGTCTGCTATCCCATTCAGCCTCTCAGAGTGCTGGAATTACAGGCATGTGCCACCAGGCCTGGCTTGTATTTACTTTTGAATCTTTACAAAGGTAGAGTTAATCTACTTAGATTTGGGGTGCAAGGTAAATACTCCGATGACATTTCTCAGAGTAGCTGTGGAAAAGGACCAGTTGCTTCTGCTATTTTTTTGTTTTTGTTTTTGTTTTTGTTTTTGTTTTTGTTTTTGTCTTTTTGCAGCGGGGTCTCACTATGCAGTTCAGCTCAGCCTTGAGCTCACTTTGTAGCTCCGGCTGGTCTCACACTCGTGACAGTCCTCCTACCTCAGCCTCCCAAGTGCTGGGATTACAGGCGTGTGCCACCACACCTGGTGTTTTTTAATTTTTAATCACTGACAGTTTCATATTTTTGTACAATAGTATAAAAATGAATTAGTAGAAAAAGTGGAATTTTAAAAAGTCAAACACAGTATAAGTTCAAATATTTTATTGGTGGTTTGTTTTTTTTTTTCCTGTACCGGGAATCGAACTCATGACCTCGTGCTGGCCAGACAGGTGCTGTGCCACTGAGCTAAATACCCAGCCCCTATATTACTGTTGTTGTTCAAATTTTTATTGTTGCAGAAGGTACTGTCAGCTTGTAATGAAAGTTTCTGAATGCTTTCATTTTCTGTGCAAATTGGGTGACAAATAGCTCACAGATCCATCCTACTCCGTCAACCACATTTTGAGAAGAGTTGCTGTATGATAATACTATAGAGACATGGTGTATATAATAATGAAATGTGTAACTTCTAGTTTACAGTGGACTGATTTTATGCCCCCCAGCTGTGTTCTGTCATCCATGAGCCTGCCCTTTCTGCTGTCCCTTTCAGATATTCAGGCAGTCATCTCAGTGCTACCTTGGTTTTCTTTTGTAGCAACTACCAAATTTGTTCCTCATTTCCTCTGCAAACATTAACCTTAGCAACATCTAGAGTGCTGTGAAAGACTCCTGTCTTCCTAAATCCAGTCACGACTCACCTGAGTATGCTCTTTTGTTTGGAAATTGCCAGTGACTTTACATCTGCTGTTTGGAAAAACTTCAAAACTCTTTAGCTAGGTTTTGAAAGCCTTTCATATATATCCCAAGTCTGCCCTTCTAGATTTATTTTCAACCACTTTTTCACATGTCTCAGGATGTACGTGTCCTCCCTCCATTCTTAAGATTGCTTTCCGTATTACCACAACCCATCTCTCCGTTAGGAAGGAGAATCCCTGATGCTGCCTTCACTCTAACAGGTCTAAAGTGTAGTAGGCTCATTGAAAGTCGTCCTGTATTGCCTGGCCTCACTTGATGCCTTGTAACTGTTGTTGGTTAGTTAGATCTGTCTAAGATGTAAATTTGATTTTGGCATTTTCTTGCTTAAAATCTTCCAGTGTCCCTTATGCTAAAGTCCTGAGCCCTTAAGTGGTTCACAAAGGCCTCTGTGGGATGGATTTTGTTGATCTTTTTAGCTTGGTGCCTGAAGTGGGCCAGCCATAATGCACTTTCAGTTCCTGGAATGTGTTTTCTCACTTCAGTTACTTGTCTGGGATACTTTTATCCTCCTGCCTTCCTGACTTCTTATCCTTCAAGGCTTTGCTAAAGAACTGAGGGTCCCATTTAGGTCTTCTTGTATGTTCGTGTAGCAACCCTGTGCTTCTCTGTTGAAATAACACATTTATGGTATGCAGTGCTTGGAAGTTCTGTAGCTGGGCATGGTAGCACACACTGTAATCCCAGCACATAGGACATTGAGGCTAGAGGATCAGGAATTTGAGGCCAGCGTGGGCTGTGTATTGAGACTCTATCTGTAAACAATAGCAAAACATTTTCCGTAAGTGGGGGTGGGGATGTAGCTCATGGCAGAGCTCATACTTAACCCGCTTAGCTCCCTGGGTTCAATCCTCAGGGAACTAAGAAAAAAGTTCCATAAGCTTTATCTGTTACTGCTAGAACCCAGTTCCTAGAGCTGTAGCACATAATAGGGAGCCAATAATATGTAGAATGAGTGGAATAAAACTTTTGTAAAATGTGAGAAACTGGATTTTAGACAGACTGAGAAAAGAAGGTTGATGGTAAAGGAGGATTTTTTCTTACTATGGTTAATATATTAATTGGCTTAGAAGTATTCTATTAACATATTAGCATTAGGACTTTAATATGCACCTCCACTGATTGCTTTCTACTCCTCAGTTACCCAGATCTTCTTGGTTGTCTTAGTTGTCTTCTAGTCTTTCCAAATTTAGGATATGTAGACCAAATTTTATATGTATTCCCATGAAAAATGAGTCACTGGTGTATTCCTCAACTGGGATTATTTTGATGTACGATGAAGCTATTACATTTAAAATGTGATTTAATATTAATGTTAATATTCCTGTAAAACATTAGACTTGTGGGAAAAGCCTAAATTTATATCTCCTTGCTTTTTCTTTCTCTCTGCCTCTGTCTAAAGAAGGAGCTACTTGAGTCGTGCATGGAAGGGGAAAGAAAGGTAGTCACTGTCTGCCGATTCTTTGATACATGCCACTCTGCTTACTTCGTAGCAAGCTACGTGACTGATCTTCAGCACTTACGAAATTTTTTGATCCTGGGAATCATAAATTGTTAACTACTGTACAAGATACTACTAAAACCTTGTTCCTGTTTCCCAAAAGCTGCCGCTCCTTTTTAATCAATAGCTATTTTAGTTTGATCCTTTTGTTCATTCCACTCACTTCTGTAGGCAAGAAAAAGAGAACTACAAAATTAGAGAATTCACAACTCTTCTCCCATGATCAAAACTCCAGTTTTTTAAAAACCTAAACTCTTAGTAGTATCTGGACACTGCTAGAATGATAGAGTGCCATAAATTGGGAGTCTTGTAAATTACTACCACCATTCCCAAGTATCATGAAAATAAACAACAAAGATAAAATGCAAGGAGAATGTATTGCAGAAAACCAGGAAGCAACTGTTTATACAGATCAGCTTGGAAGACTACTTCCCTATCCCCCGGAAAATAACCAGGAAACAGAAGAAAATCTGTGTTTACACTGCAGACAGAATGTTGGCTACAGACTGTAGCAACAAAATATTTGAGGGTATAAAAGCATCTTGAATTAGAAATTTTAAAACAAAGTGGAAATGATGAATAAAAGGAGAAATGAAAATAAAATTGATGAAATGGAAGAAAGAGATAGAAAAAAAGATAAAATTGTAAGTGAATAAATTATGAACTAGATTCAAATGGAAATTTATTAGGCAGTTAAAGAAGGCGTAAGGCAACTGAAAGAATTGAAAATGACTTTAAAAAGTAAAATGAGTCAGAGAAAGTATTGGGAATGGAAAATAGGCAAAGAAGATACAATATTCATATTTGGAGTCCCTTAGTAACAAAAATGAAGGAGTGGAACAGTTCATATTTTAAAATACAACAGAAGTTTCCAAAGCCAGATGTGGTAGCACATGCCTGTAATCCCAGCACTTGGGAGACTAAGGCAAGAGGATTGTCTGAAATTCTAGATCACCCTGAACTACACAAGGAGACTCTGTCCAAAAAAAAATGTAGAAGTGCAAAAAAAAGAATCTAAAATTTGATAATTTCAGCTCCCTGGGTAACTGCAAAAATTAACACAGACTTGTCTCCTTCGACAGACAGCTTAAGGAAGCTGTCATATTTCAGAAATAAAGGTAAAGTCATCCAGGGTTCCAAGCAGAAAGAGTAGATAACCTAAAGGCAAATTTGTATGAAATATTGTTGCAAAGCTGTACACAAAGTAGGGCTACAATGTTGCACCCTTTTAGGAAACTCAGTGAAAGTGTGAACAAAGATTCTATGTCCAGTTGCCATATCCTTCAAATATCAAAGCTATAGGAAAAAACACAAAACACCTTTAAACATGCAAGAACGAGGATAATTCCTGCACCCACCACCATTGCTGAAGGCAGTCTAGAGGGTGAACTTCACCCAGCCAGTTGTGGGCTCAGAAATTTCCAGCAGACCATCTAACATACAAGGTTAAATATTATAATACTACAGCTGAAAAGATGGGAGAAGAAAAGAGGCTAAAGTGTAGGCAGTGGGAAACTTTTTTTTTTTTTTTTTTGTGGTACTGGAGATCTAACTCATGACCTTGTGCTTGCTAGGCAGGCGCTTATGCCACTGAGCTATCCCCAGCCCCATTGGGAAACTTTTAAATAACACTGAGAAGAAAAGAGCTCTGGCAGACTAGGTAGTAAAAAGTTAAATAAGAAAATGAGAGCTGACTGTAGTGGCTCATGCTTGGAACTTGGCACTGCGGGAGGCTGAGGCATGAGGCTCACAAATTCAAGCTAGCCTGGGCAACTTAGCCTCTCAATTTAGTGAGACCCTATCTCAAAATAATAAAAAGATTTTAAAAGTACTGGAAATTTAGTTCAGTGTGAAGGCCCTGGGTTAATCTCTGGTACCACAAAACACAGGGTAAATAAGGGTGTTAAAAAACACTCTTAGGGGGCTGGGGATTTAGCTCAGTGGCACAGCACCTGCCTAGCAAGCGCAACGTTGTGAGTTCAATTCCCGGTACCGGAGAAAAAACAAAAACAAAAAAACAAAAAAACACCCTTATGTTGGTTGTTTGGTTAAACAGCCAAAGTAACCACCAGAATGAAAAGAGGAATAACCAGCCTCCCTTCCAACTAATACTCGCTTCCAACTTTTTTTTAGACAGGTCATCTCTGTGTTTCCCAGGTTGGTCTCAAACTCCTGAGTCTAAGTAATCTTTGCTTTAGCCTCCCGAATGCTAAGGTTATAGTCCCAGACTGCGCCCGGCTCTCCCTTCCAATTTTTAAAAAATAAATAAGAAAATACATCTCATAATGGAAAAAAATAGCTAACACAACAAAACATGTATAATTAGAACTATTATAGCCAGTCGTGGTGGCATATGCCTGTAATCCCAAGCATCATGGAGGCTGAGGCGGGAAAATGGCAACATCATAGATATCTGTGTATTTTACTCCCCTTTTGTATCAGTCTGAGTTCAGTTAGGAGGAAAAAACTGAACAGTAGTTGAGAAAGGTTGGTCTAAGGAATTACTCGCTTTAATGTAGGATTAGAGTAATGTGGTGTTAGCAAAGAAGTGAAAGGAAGCTGGGCGCTGTGGTGCACTTGTAATCCCAGCACTCTGCAAGGCTGTAGCAAGATGGCAAGTTCAAGTCCACCTGGGTGAACTAAGGAGGCCTTGAAGCGTGGTGAACGCCTATAATCCCAGCACTTAGGAAACTGAGGCAGGGGGATTGCCACAAGTTAAGGTCGTCCTGGGCTACATGGTGAGTTCAAGGCCAGTCTGACCTACTATGTATAGCAAGCCCCTGTCTCCAAAAAACAAAGTGGCTGGACGCCTAGCTCAGGGGTAAAACAGAAAGAGCATGAAAAGGTGCACCCTATCCCAGGGGCTGAAGGAGAATGCTCAGCAAGTCCATTCGTTCTCTCACCAGGACTGAGTTCCAGACCCGTTGGAAAGGGCCTGGCTCTGCTCACGGAGCGGCGGAAAAACTGCTGTGGTGCTGTGTCAGTGGGACTTGCTGGAAAGCTACCCTCAGGGTGCCCGGAAAAGCTGGGCACAGGAGTGGGTGGTGGGGAAGGTTGTAGGGTGCCCGCGACTGCGCCGCAGGGATCCTCCTGAGCTGGCGTGTCAGACCGGGAAGCGCAGCCCTCCCCCCGTGCTGTGAGCGCTCTCCACCCGCCTCACGGGCACGGCTTGGCAGAGGAAAGATGTCTAAAGGGTCAAGGTCCAGAGCTTGGGGGTTGGCTGAAGGGCGTGAGTGGGCCGGGTAGGAAGAAGGGAGAGGACGGCAGTAGGTGAGTAGGAACAAAGAGCGGGACTCTTCAGACTCCGGAAGCAGAGCAGCGCTCCACACGTCTTCCACGTGCCCTAAACTACCCACGCAGAGCCACCCGGGGCGTGCGTAGGGGACTGAAGCGGTAACACAAGGACTGACAAGTGAGGGGCGAGGGTGTTGCTCAAGAGGCGTGTGTGCTGAGCATGCGTGACGCCCTGCGTTTGAGCCCCGGCACAGGGAGCGGCAGCCGCGGCAGCAGTGGCCGGTGGTGGGGGGGACTAGCTTTACGGATGAGTGCCGTTACCCTGGAGAGGCTGGGAAGGGGGCGCTGACCTGTCCGCCTGAGCATGCCGGGGTCGTACTGTTGTAGGGCTGAAGACTAAAGAAGTCTCCATAGGTTTGTATCCTCATAGGAGTGCAGATTAGCAGTTTCACAGGTGCTTTTATGCATTTACTAGAATTGAACATTAAGGTTGCAGTCATATGAGAGCTGGGGTTCTCATTTCTGGAGAAAGACGTTATAAACAAGGAAAGGTTGAAGGCTTTAGTTAAATCTTGGTTTTAGGTTAAGCTTAGAAATATCGATACAAACTTAGGATTTTAAGTATGTAAGACAAAAATACATACAGGAGCTGGCATGCACATGTGCATTTCCTGCCTTTCTCGCCTGACGGGTGTAGAAGCAGTGACCACAGTATTGAGAATATCTAGCTTCCAGTGTCTAAAATACTGCTCCAGGAAAGGAACTAGTTGACTCCCGGTTCAAAACAGGAAAAATTAGGATGGACCTTGGACATGCTGTGGTTGAAAAAGTAAGGAAACGCTCAAAAGAAAGATGGGGGCCTTTGAACAGAAGCCAGCCAGAAGGAATTCCTAATGACCAAAGCCGGAACGCTTTGAGCGTCGAACCTATGATGGTTGTAGACTTCATTTAACCCTGAGAGGAAGCTTGTACTAGTGTGAGAACCAGTCTGTACTAATATAAACGATCAGATGAGTAAAGGGGTAGAGGTAGGTCTTCCTCATGGTGGAGTTCCGGGGAATAGATGTGGGAGGAGAGAGCTGGAGAATCATCTCTAAGGCAGGTACTAGGGTAACGTTGAAGGCAGAATTCCTGGGTGAAAAGCTTGAGGGGAAACAGGGTTTGCCTGGTCAGTGTTACCTCCCCTAAAGTATTTTTCAGATTCAGATAAAGTATTTTTTAGGGGAAGAACTTGGAGGACAGGAACTTAACTGAGGTAACATAACATCTCATGAACCTCTCAAAATGGTATACCAAGAAGGAAGTCATTCTTGTGGTATCCTTGCCAGAAATGCCAGTTTTAATCCAGTCAGGAGGAACCAAAATGAAAGCCAAATTAAAGGACGTGCTACAAACTGATGGGAGCTCTTCAAGTGTCAAGAATGTGACAGACACAGAGAGCCTGAGGAACTGCGGCAGAGGGAGGGTACAAGGGAAAAAATAAGCTCAAGAAAAAACAGGCATTCAGTTAAAAATTGTATAAATGTAATAATCCTGTTCTTAATCTGATCATACAGGATGTTAATGTAAGGGACATTAGGTAAGGGATAACATATATATATATCTATATGTGTATGGAAACTCTTTGTATTACTTTTGCCACTTTAATTCTAAAATTGATCCAAAATAAAAAGTTAAATTTTAAAGATGCTTTGCAGTGTTGGACTTTGATTTTTCTTGTATCTTCGACAGGGCTAGAAAAAGTTTCTTGGAACATCGTGAAGAAACCATAACAATAGATCGTGCCTGCAGACAAGAAACATTTGCGTATGAGATGGTAAGGTTCTCGTCTTTCACCTTTGTTTCCCGTGAGACTGTAAACTCTGTTATTGGCTGAGTGAGAATTGTACGGTGGCTTCGCATTAGATGTGCTCAGCTGACAAGAAAACCGCAACTGGGACTGGGAACTGCTGAGAGAAAAGGACCCACAGAACTCAAGGCGCTGTATGTTCGCCTCATCTCTGCCGTATTTTTGGTGTTAGTTTGGTCTTACCCTCTCAGTATTAGGCTTTTTGCCTACCGTTTTCCTGGTCTTTTTGTTCTGCTCTCTTTTTTTCTTAATTATGTTTATTGGTACAATTTAGATATAAAAATCATATTCGTCATAGGGAGTTTGCACATGTATATGTTTGTTCTGCTTTTGATTTTACTTTGTGTGTGTGTGTGTGTGTGTGTGTGTGTGTGTGGGGTACTAGGAATCCAGCTTAGGGGTGTTCCACCGCTGAGCTACACCAGCTGCTTCCCCGCTTTTCATTTTGAGACAGGTCTTGCTCCGTTGCCCGTGGTGGCCTTGAACTTGAGATTTTCCTCCTCAGCCCCCCTCCAAGGGACCTGGGATCAGAGAAATGTACCACCATACCCACCATTTAGCCACATTCTTAATTCTAATTCATTATCCCTGTTGTACAGCCCTAGGAACAATTTAATATGAATATTGAGTAATTAGGAGCTACTAGGCATGATGAGTCCGTGTACCGTGTGTCAGACTCGGGGGAACTTTGGCCGTGCGGAAGGGCTGCAGCCATCACGCCTCTCCCACTTACTTTTGTGCTTGCGTTTACACCGTATAAACTTACATTAACCACTTTTAAGTGTTCAATTAAGTACATTCACAATGCTGTGTAAACATCAGCACTATTTCCAGACTTTGCTTCATCTCAAGCAGAAATTTATACCTACTATGCAGTAATTCAAATTCGCATTGCCTCTGGCGATTTCTGTTCTATTTTTTGTTTCTGTGAATTTGCCTGTTGTTTTATTAGTACGTGCTTGTAGTACATGATGGCTGCATTCATTGTCAGGAGTCGGTGCATGTACATAACACGGCTTAGTTGTCTCAGAATCTCCTCGCCCTTCCCTCCCGGCCCGCTCCTTTCATCTCTTGGTCACCGTCTCATTTGCAAAGATCTAGCTCCCGGTTTTCTGTTCTCTGGTATTTTGCTCTTTGTTTATACTTCAGGTTTCTCATATAGAGAAGCCATGCAGTGTTTATTATCTCACTTAACATTATGGTCTCAGTGTGCCTCCGTTTTCTTACAAGGGACTCATTTATCCATCTTTAGAGGAGAGTATTACTCCACTGTGTATAAATACCACATTTTATCCTTTCATCTGTTGGTGACATGTAGGCCACTTCCAAGATTCAGCTAGTATGAGTCATGCTGCTATAAACACAGGCGTGCACATATCACTGATGTGATGTCTTTAACACTTTCAGGAAGATCCCTAGAAGGGAAATAGATGGATAAATGGAATTCCTAGTTTTATTTTTTGAAGAATATCCATATTGATTTTTACAGTGGTTGTACTAGTTGAGATTCTTAACGGTATAGAAGGGTTCCTTTTTCCCCACAGCCTTGCCAGCATTTATTTTTAGATTTCTTGATGATACCCGTACTTTCTGGGGTAAGATAAAAACCCAGTGTTGTTTTAATTTGCATTTCTCTGATGGTCGGAGATGTTGAACATTTTTTAATGGATTTTTTGGCCATTTGTACTTCTGAGAAGTGTCAGTTCACTTCAGTTGCCCATTTTTTGTTTGGATCTTTCATTTTAGGGGGAATCATATTTTTTTGAGTTCTTTATGTATTCTACATATTAGTCGTCTGTCCAAAGCATAGCAGGCAAATATTTTTTCCCCGTTCTATAGATTGTCTCTTCTCTCCGTTGGTTGTTTTCTTTGCTATGTAGCTTTTTAGTTTGGTATAGTTTCATTTGTTGATGCTCTTTCTTGTGCAGTTGGGATTCTGTTCAGGAACTCCTTGCCTATGGCTATGTCTTTAAGAGTTTTACCTATTTTATCTTCCAGTGCATTAATTGTTTCTGTGTCTGTTTAGATCTCTGATCCATTTTGATTTTGTTTTGGTGTGTGCTGCGAGATAGGGTCTAGATTCAGTCTTCTGTATATAGCCAGTTTTCCCAGCACCATTGTTACTGGGAGTTTCTTTCCTCCAGTGTATGTTTCATTCCTTTGTCAAAGACCAGATGGCTTGAATGCACCTAGTGTTGTTTCTCCATCCTCTGTTCTGGTCCATTGATCCACGTGGCTGTTTTTGTGCCAATACTATGCTGTTTTTATCATTGTAGCTTTGTAATATAACTTGAAATCGAGGATTCTGATGCTTCCTGCTTTGCTCTTGTTGCCCAGGATTACTTTTGCTATTCTCAGTCTCTGTTGGTTCCATATAAATTTTAGAGTTGTTTTCTCTAGTTGTATAAAGAATGCCATTGATATTTTGATTGAGATATTTTGATTGGGATTAATATATAGAATATATTAAATCTACGTATCAGTTTTGGAAGTATGGCCATTTTGGCAGGATTGGTTCTGTCTGTCCAGGAATGCGGGATATCATTCCATTTTCTGATGTCCTGTTTGATTTCCCTTTTCAGAGTACTATAGTTTTTATATAGAGGTTTTTGACTTTTTAGGTTAATTCTTAAGTATTTAATTTTTCTTGAAAGGTATTGTAAATGGTATTTTTTTTCTAGTTTCTTTTTCAGTGGATTCATTATTGGTCTATAGGAACACTGTTGATATTTGTGTGTTGATTTTGTATCCTGCTACCTTGCTGAATTTGTATTTCTAGAATTTTTTGGTCTTTTATGTAAAGGACCATGTTGTCTGAAAACTAAGATAGTTTGACTTCTTCCTTTCCTTAACATATCCTATTTATTTTTTTTCTCTTGCCTGATTGCTATGGCTAAAGTTTTGAGTACTATCTTGAAGAGAAGTAGTGAAAGTGGATATCTTTGTCTTGTTCCTGATTTTAAAGAAAAGGTTTCACTTTTTCCCCAGTTAACAGAATCTTGGCATTAGGTTTGTTATAAATTGCTTCTATCAGATTGAGATAAAGCCCTTCTATACCTGTTTTGTGTAGATTTTTAATCATGAATGAATGTTGGATTTTGTCAAGGCTTTTTTTTTCTCTGTTGAGATAGATGATCATGTGATTTTTGTGCTAGCTTTGGTTTATGTGATGTATTACATTTATTGATTTGTATATGTTGAGCCATCTTTGTATCCCTGGAATGAAGCCTACTTGGTCATCATATGTGATCTTTTTGGTGATTTGTTACTTTCTGCTTACCAGTATCTTGTTTAGGATTTTTGCATCTATGTTCATTTAAGAGATTGGCCTGTAGTTTTCTTTTATGGTTGAGTCCTTGTCTGGTTTTGGAATCAAGGTAATGCTAGCTTCCAGGAATTAGTATGGCAGTACTCCTTGCAGTTTCATCATAGAGTTTGAGGAGTACTGTATTGGCTGGCATTAGGTCTGCTCTGAAGTTCTTGCTGAATTCACTCATGAGTCCCTTGGATCCTGGACTTTTCGTAGTTGAATTAATTGGTGAGTAGTTGGTATTTTTTTTTATTACTCCCTCAATTTTATAGCCTGTGATTGGATTATTCAGTGTTTTTCTACATTTTTGGATTCAGTTTTGGTAATTCATATGTATCTAGGAATCTATCCACGTCTTCTGGACTCTCCAGTTAATTGGAATACAGCTTTTGGAAGTAGTTACTAATTATCTTCTGGATTTCAGTGGTGTCTTGTGGTTTCACCTTTTTTATTTCTAGTTCCATAGATTTGGGTTTTTCTTTTTTTTGGTAAGATTAGCTAAGGGTTTGTCTATGTTGTTTATTCTTTCAAAGAATCAGCTCTTCAATTCATTGATTTTTTTTAAAAAAAATTTTTTAGTCTTAGTTTCATTAATTTCTGCTGTGATCTTTATAATTTTCTTTCTCATGTTAGTTTTGGATTTGGATTGTTCTTATTTTTCTAGGAAGCACATCATTAGGTAATTTGGACTCAGTGTGTTTTTCTGATGTGGGCATCCATAGCTAGAAACTTCCTCTTGGGATTGCTTTTATTGTTGTTTTATTGTTGTGGTATATTGTTGTGGGATTACTGTGCAATTGTAGGAACTGTCTGACTTCTATTTTGATTTCTTCTGTAATCTGTATGTGTTTGTATAATTTCTGTGGTTTCATTTGCCATTGATTTCTAATTTATTGCAGTATGATCAGATAATATACCCATGGAATAACTTCATTTCTCTTATGTTTACTTAAGCATGTTTTATGGCCAAGTATGTGGTCTGTTTTAGCGCATACATTTTATGTGCTGCTGAGAAGAGTATGTATTGTGTTGTTGGGTGGAACACTGTAAATATCAAATCCATCTGTTCAAAGATGTAGTTCACTTCTGTTGTTGTTGTCGTTGTTGTTGTTTGGTTCAGTTGCTTTGCCTATGTATGAGAGTGGGGTAGGAAAGTCCCTGGATAATTCTGTTGATGTTTACATGATCTCTTATGTCCAGCAGTATTTGTTTTATGAGGTTCAGCATGCTTGTGTTCAGTGCATGTGTATTTATAATTCTTATCTCTTGTTGAATTATTCCCTTTACTAATATGTAGTGTGATCTTCTTTCCCTTCTCTGATCAGTTTTGGAAATCTATCTTGTCTGAAAATAGAATAGCTACTCCTGCTTGGTTTTAGGCTCTCATGGCATGGAACAGTGTTTTCTGTCCTTTGATTTTTAGCCTGTGAATTTCCTCTTGGATTAGCATATGTTTGTTATATGCAGTGTACTGTTGGGTTTTGTTTTTGATCTGGTCTACCAGCCTGTCTTTTGATTGGAGAGTTGAGAGCATTTACGTGGAGAGTTACTGCTGAGGTATTGTGTTGAGGTTTAATGCATTCCCATCATTGTTCTTCCCTGCCCCTCTTCCGTTTAAGTGCTTGCCCTACCAGGTGTGTTCACTTCATTAGACTTCTTGGCATTGTTGACGTCTTCGTTGTCTGTTTCTAGGATAGCCTTAAGAATTTTTTGGAGTGCTGATTTGATAGTAATGACTTTCTTAATGTGTTCTTTATCATGGAAAGACCTAATTTCCACATCAATTTTGAAAGGTAATTTATTAATGGAACTTCATTTTCTTTAAGCCTTGAAACATTTCAGTTCTCCTAGCCCTGAAGGTGTGAGTTGATATGTCTGCTGGAATTCTAATGGGTTTACCTTTAGAAGTGATAAATTAGAGTTTTTCTGTAACAGCTTTTAAGATTTTGTCTTTGTGTTGGACTTCTGGGATTTTGACTGTAATGTGTTTTGGAGCAGTTCTTTTCTGATTGTGGCTATTTGGGTTGTGTATGCTTAGCTTCTCTGCATGTTAAATTCTTTGTAGTTGGATAGTTTTCTGCCAGTTACTTCTGTAAAAAGCTTTTATACCATTTGTGCTGTCTTCTGATTTTTCACTAATTGTAATTAATCTTAGATTCATCTTGTGTCATGTAGCGGCACAGAATCCATTTTCCATATTGTTGTTTTAAGGTGTCTCTGAGTGTATAGTCACCTGCATCCGCCCTGGTTTTTGGTTTTCACAGTTTGTCCTCACAGTGGTCCCTTCTGCTGTTCATATTTTCAATAGAATTTTTAATATGGATTTTCATGGACTCTTAATTCTTTACTGAACTGGTCATTCATGTTTTTTTATCATGTTGTTTGACTCAGCTAGCTTTTTATTAGTATTTTCTGTAAGCTTTCTGATTATTCTGAGGCCATTTTTTGTGTAGTTATATCATCTTTGAGCTTGCTGAGCACCTTCCTGATGGGTTTTTGTTTTGTTTCTTTGTCTCCTCTTATCATTTTGTGTAATTCAACTACTCAGTCTTCAGTTTCCTCCCCTCAGTGCCCCATGGATCAATTTGGGGGGTATTCAGTTCAGCTTCGCTCTTTTCCGTGTAGTAGATACCAATTTTTCCCACCAGTTTGCTGAAAAGACCGTCCTTGCCTTATTGAGTGGCCTTGGCACCCTTGTGGAAAGTCAGTTGGCCGTGTAACTTCTTTCTTCCTAGTCTATTTCTCTGTCCATCCTTATACTGGAACTGCACTGTTTTTACTACTGTAGTTTTGTAGTACATTTTGAAATTGGGAAATGTGAGACCTTTAACTTTTTCAAGATTTTCTTGGCGGTTCAGCGTCCCTTCAAATTCCATATGAATTTTAGGATGTATTTTTCTGTTTCTGCAAAAAAATAAAAATAGATTCAGATTTTGTTAGGGATTGCAATGAATCTGTTAGTCACTTTGGGGAATATTGACATCGTAATGACATTAAGTCTTCTAATCTACGAACAGGAGAGGGAGATGTCTGTCCTTTTATTTAGGTCTTTATTTTCTTCCAGTACTTTTTGGTGTTAAGTCTTTTGCCTTCTTGGCCAATGTATTATTTAGCTTTTCATTTCTGTAGTGGTATACTTGAGACAGGCTAGCTGTACAGAGAAATGAATTCTAGGTAGCTTACAGTTAACGGAGGGTCAGAGCCATGGTCGGTTGTAGAGGGCCCTCTTGGCGAGCTCACATAATGGCTGGATGCAGCAGCAGGAGCGCGTGCTAGAGTAAGTGTCACGTCTGCAAGCAGGAAGCAAGAGTGAGGCAGAGTGGAGCCAAAGTCAGGGTTTTCTAACTGCGCTCATGAGAGCTAACCAGGGTGCCACAAGAAATACTTCAGTCCCTGCCCACGTCACACCTTCAGGTCCTTAAGGACCTCCTATTAGCCCCCTCATACGGGCTTCCCAACGCTTCCCAGCTGCTTCCTGGGGACCACGTATTCCGAAGGTGCACCTTTGCGGGACCTGGAAGCATATCCAAGCCCCAGCAGTTAAAGTTGCTTCTTGGTGTTGCTGCCGCCCCCCTGTTCCTCCTCCTCTTCTTTTCCTCCTCCGTTTCCCCTCTTCCCTACCTCTCCCTCCTCTTTGTTCCCTTCCTCCCCGTCTTTCCTTTCCTCATTTTTTGAGACAGGGTCTCACTTTGTAGTCCAGGCTGACCTTGAACTTGCCGTGTAGCCCAGGCTGACCTGGAACTTCTAGTCTTTCTCCTCAGCCTCCAGAGTGCTGGCATTCTAGGCACAGGACACCACATTGGCTCAAGTTTATTTCAATAGTATGCAAACTCTCTACTCCTATACTGTTTTTCTCTCTTTATATTGTTTTTTGAGACAGTGTCTCACTATGTAGTTCATGCTAGTTTGAACATACTGTGTAGTCCAGGCCAGCCTCCAAGTTGGAGCAATCCTCCTGCCTCAGCCTCCCAGAAGCTGAGGTGAGAGACACCATGCCCAGCTCCCTCTACATACTGCTATTACAGATTACATCTTTATTTATTGTGTGTTTGCTAGCATACATTTGTAAATACTTTTTATCCATTTGTTTTTAATAACACAGGAAAAAATAGAGGAGTTATGAACCAAAAAGTACAAAAAAACCCATATCTTTATATTTATATATGTAATTACCTTTACTAGTGTTCTTTATTTCTTGTTATGACTTCAAGTTATTAGGAAGAACGCTTCAGCATTTCTTATAAGGCACATTTGCTGGTAATGAACTCTTTCAGCTTTTTTTTTTTTAAGATAGGCTGTCACTATGTATTTCAGGCTGGCCTTGAACTCACTGTGTAGCGCAGGCCGGCCTTGAACTTGCAGTGACACCCCTGCCTCCCAAGCGCTGGAATTGCAAGTAGGTGCCACAGGACCAGCTCCTTCAGCTTTTATCTGAAAATGTGTCAATTTCTCCTTCATTCCTAAAGGATACTTTTGCCAGATTTTTGTGTGTGTGTGGAATAGGGTCTCATTATGTTATCCAGGCTGGCCTTAAACTCACTTTGGAGCCCAGGCTGGCCTCAGACTTGCAGTGATCATCCTGCCTCAGCCTCCCGAATACTGGGATTATAGGCATGCGCCACCACGCCCTTGTCAGATTTCATGGTCAGCAGCATTTCTTTCAGGGTTTTATGTGTGTCTTGTCTCCTTGGTTTCTGATGAGGAATATTGGTGAATTCCCTGTAGTTATTCATGGCTTCTTTGAGCTCACTGAACACGTTTGAGAGAGTTGACTTAACCTCTTTATTTGTGAATCTCGCTTTCGCCTGTAGGAACCATTAATGAACTTCTTTTACTAGTAAGTTCAGTGTCTGGATTTCTGCAGTGTGAGTTCCTGTTACATTCTTATTTTCCTATGAATGGGCCATACCTTCCTGTTTCCTGTTTTGTAGGTTTTGGTTAGGACCTTCCAAGTGTGTTTTTCTTGCTCAGGGCCAGCGCTGCTTGTGACTTTCCGCACTGTTACTTCTCTAAGCTCAGCTTCATCTTCTTAAAAAAAATTGCTAAGTTGATAACTTGCTGGGAACTTACATGTATCATCTAGTAGATATATAGCTCAGGGGTGGAGCATTAGCCTAGCATGGACAGGGCCTTGATTTGATCCACAGCACCGCAAAAAAAACGCCCCCAAAAATCTATCTAATATAATCGGCATGAAGTGCTTAGCCACTGATGATAAAACAGGAGTACTGACTTACACTTGCATAACACTGGCATTTCAAGCTATTCTTTTTTACATGCTCTAACATTCTCTTTAAATTTTTTGAAATTATCATTTAAATTGTAAGGATAAAAGTTTAAAAACTATACTCCGCTTTTGCTGGAGATGAAGTGCACCTGTTTCCTCCAACAAAATCCTAAGTATATTTCGTCACACCTGAGCGTCTCAATTTTCTCAGTACAGAGCAACCACTGCACGTGTGTAGGACACTTACGGTTAATACGGACCCCCGGCTCATCCAGCGTGCAGCGTGCATGACTCTGAAGAGGGTGATTGGGGCGGGTGTACAACAGGAACTGAAACATCACAATCCCAGGTTTTAAAATGGGATCTTAGAAATCATTTGTGGGACACTCAGGTCAGTTTCCTCTTCAGTTAAGGTGCTGCACCCTCTGCTGACCACCGCTCTTCCTCAGCGCGAGAGTCACCATGTGCCAGCTTGAGGCGCCAGGCACAAAACCTTGACAGTACTGTCTTCCTAAGCGGCTAAATGAAGTAACCAGTCAGTCCGTGCTTGCGCTCTGCCGGACGCCTCTGCACTGTCTCAGACTTCGCAGCGTCTGCCAGGCTCCCAGGAGCCTGGCAGGATAAACAGTGGTGCAACGTTTTTTGTTCGTTTTTGAGGCAGGGTCTCACTGTGTATTCCAGGATGGCTTTGAGCTCATTATGTAGCCCAGGCTGGCCTTGAACTCTCAGCGATCCTCCTGCCTCAGCCTCCTGAGTGCTGGGATTACAGGCGTGTGCCTCCAGACCTGGCTGGGGTACAACATTTTTAAAAGGAGCCAATTTCTTAGTTTCATTCGGAGCCCAAAATCTGAAGTGCTGGCGACCAAATCTAAGGCCCTGTCCATGTTAGACAGATGCTCCACTGCTGAACTGTGTGCGTATCCCTTATTAGATGACGTGTGTATCCATTCTCAGCAAGTTTTAAAATTAGATGACGTGTGTATCCATTCTCAGCAAGTCTTAAAATCAGAAGAGGAAGCCAAAGCTTAGAGAAGTTGTAATAATTTTCCTAAAACCAAATCAGACATCAGTCCTGGGGCTGTCTGACTCAAGGCCTTGCTAATAGCCGTTACACTACAGAGCCTGAATTAGTGTTTGATTTCAAGCTCTCGTTTTTTCTTCAGGAGTCACATGCACTGGGGAAAAAGCCTGAAAATCCAGTAGACATGATTGAAGAGGGGGAGCTTATCCTGTCTGTGAATATCTTGTACCCCATTATATTTCATAAGGTAAGTAGTTAAACCTTCCAGCTTTTGTGGATAATAAGGTGAATTTAAGGTGGGGGCTGCGGATTGAACTCAGGGCCTCATGCACAAATCACTTTTTCCAAAGATTTTACTTCCTTAAAGAAATGCTTACAGATATACTGTCTGTCTAACATCTTATTTTTAGAGCTAACTTTGTTTACGTAAGGAATATCAGAAATAAAGTCGAGGTTTAAACCATGTCGTAACCGGGAGGATTACAGTTAAGTACTGGGACACGTGCTGGGTTTCTGTGCCAGAGCCGCTGGAAGTTCATACAAATCCAGAGTGAGTCTAGTTCTGTGAATCTTTGACAACAGGGGTGACAAGCAAAGGAACGGAGTGACTTTTGTTCACCACTTTGGAATACTTGAGATATTATTGACTAAAGACAGTTCTTCGATGAAGTACATAAAGTTCACAAGTCAGGTTATCCAAGGTTTTTTTTGTTTTTTGGTTTTTGGGTTTTTTTGCAGTGCTAGGGACATGCTGTATACTGAGCTACATCCCCAGACCCAGGAATTTCTTAGAGGAGTCTCAAATAAAAAGAACTATAGCCCAGCTCAAAAGTGTGTGTCCTAAATAGATTGTCCTAAACTTTGAAGAGGTCTGACCAAAATATTACTAGACCTAAATTCTACTTACACATAAGTAGGCTTCAGTGAATTTTCTGGGGTATACGTACTGCTAATTACCTTGTTTCAGCTCTCAAATTACCAATCAAAACAAAAAAAAACAAACGAAAAAGAAAGAACTTTTGAGTATATACCATTAGGATAGGATATAGAGTGACTGGCTTTGATGATGTAACATTCAGGAAAACTTAAAGATGGTACTTCAGGGTGAGGTTGTACTCCAAAACCTCCAAAGTCCTAGTGTCAGTTTAGTGGCGTCATAATCATAAACTTTAGTTTAAACTAGGAGAGTTATATCCATAGAATTTTAATTTGTGAAGGGGATCAAGTAGTAACAAAGAAAGGTCAGTGCCATCAAGGTTTTTATTACTTAGGTTTCCCAAGAGGAGCATGCATGCCACACCACACAGGGCTACAGGGACAAGCACCATCTCAGCCGAAGGCAGAAAGAAGAGGGGAAGACACGGGACCCCAGACTTTTTGGAGGGTATAGGGAGTGGGTCCTTGTTGCGGTCCAGGAAGCTCGTATTTGTAATCCCGTGGAGCAGTTACTGGAATTCTAGTGAGTTAATTCCAGTCTACCACTTTCCGTGCAGCCCGTGGGGAGGATAAAGACACTAAGGCACATTTGTAGTTGTGAGGAGCCAAGGGGATCCCAAGTCCAGCCATGATGTTGGCCACCGGAACAAAGGCCTCGACCAGGGCCGAACCCAGGTTTTACTCCTTTGTGAAGAAGGGCGTGGCCTGAGGATGCGTGACGGTGAGAGTGGCGGGAAGTGAGTGAGTGCTGTGAGCGGGAGGCCCTAGATCGCCTCTGCAGGACGCAGAAAGAAGGACATGCAGAAAGAGTCATGTGCATCACACAGCTGAGGTAGTGTCTGATGTTCTGGCGTTGGTGCCTCAGTTCTGATGTGTAATCTTTTGTGTCCTGGGAAGCCACAGCCCCTTACCTCAAGGCTCGCCCAGTCCTGGAGTGTGGCTCTCCGTCCCACGTCTGCTCACGCGTTCATTTGGGAGCTGCGGGGGCGGGGAAACATGCTGCCGTCTTCAAAGACTGCCGTCAGCACCTTCGCTGGACCAGTGTGCACTGCTCAAAGCCAACTGAAGGGAGAAGGAAAAGTCCCAGCCAGCTCTGTCCGTATCAGTCCATGGAAACGGGGCCGGGCTCAGCCAAACTGGAGAGAACTGCTCTTCCTTTAAGGAGCGTTACCCAGGTGCTCCACGGGAAGGTTTCACAGGAAAAGCAGTGCTGGCCGGGGTTACGGGTTAGGACTGCTTAGTTGGAGTAACTCCAGTGCGTTTTGGGACATGAGGCGATGATGGTGAACCTTTCGGAGCTCGCAGTGCCAGAGCCAGCCTGCGGCAGCGTGCGCCACGGGATCGCCACCACTGGCGTAAAGTCTGTCGCTGGTTGCGTGTCGGCTGACCTTAGGGTAATTTGATTGTGTGTTGGGAAAAAAAGAAAACACAGAACAATCAGTTATGAGGGCAATTTATTAAGAAAATCAGTAACTTCGTTTAGATCTGGTCGCGATGGAATTTGTGGTTTAACTGCATTGTTGGTAAGTGGACATTTATTTGCTATTTGGCTTGTAGCATAAAGAACATAAACCATTCCAGACGATGCTGGTTTTGGGGAGGCAGAAGCTCACAGAGCTGAGGGATGCCATTTGCTGTGTCAGCGACCTCCAGATCGGTGGTGAATTCAGCAACACTCCTGACCAAGCTCCCGAGCACATCAGCAAAGTAAGGTGCCCCTCCCCCCAAAACGGAAGGAAACAGTGATAACTCGAGCAGGTTTATCAGTGTTGTCGTGTATGCTGCTTCCATGTGAGTCCATCAGAACTCGTGCCCTTCCTCCCCTTGATCATCAGAGCTTTTCCAGAGGCAAGACTGTTTCGATTTCCTCATCTCTCATTTATTTCTCAGTTATTCTATGGACTCTCCTTCCTAGGTACTAGTGACCAGCTCCTTGTCAGACCAGTGTGTCTCTTTTCCAATTTGATGCAGGTGAACCTCACTGTAGCCTTTACCGAGGGGAGTGGGGAGAAGGGGTGCTGGGGATTGAGCCCCAGGCTTCCTATGCTAAGCAGGAGCTCTGCCGTGAACTAGCCCCGCAGCCTCACTGTAGCTTTTGACTTACTGTTCACACTCCTTTTTCACACTCCAGGGGTTTCCGTCTGTCAGAACTACCACCTGCAAAAGACTGGAGTCGGCTGAGAGACAGCGGAGTTAGTACCGCTTCCTCCCCTTTCAGTGTGCACGGACAGGCCAGGAAGTATCAGGACCAGCACCAAACAGTACAGGGAGATTGTGTGCGGTTGGCCCTTGCTGGTGTGCGGTGCTGTTTCAGCGACATCCTTGGGAAGGAGCAAAGGGCCAGGCCGGCTGCCCACAGGGTGTCAGAGTGACTGCTTCCCCATGTAAGCGGAAGGGCCTGGTCCTTCCCAAGTTCAGCTTAGGGGAAGGGTGATTGCTACCTGCTGCGGTCCTGGTGAGGGTCCTGGACTTGCTGACCTGCAGCTGGAGAGAAGCTGTCTTTGCTGCAGGTGTGTGGAAGGATATTTGCCACAGCTAGGGGACAGGTAGAGTTCAGACAGAAACCAACAGAATGTCCTTTTTTGCTAGTGCCTTTCTGCAGGCTCCTCAATTTTCGTTCTTAGACTGACGCAGGCCTTCTGTAATGAGGTTCCCAAGCTAACACCCCACACTGCAGCCCGTCTCTACGCCTCATGCTTCAGCCAGTGAATTCATGTATTATCTTCCTCTGACCCTTCACACTTCACTTCTCTGAGGGTTTCAGCTGAGTCAGAAGCCCTTCCCCTTCCTTCGTGCGTCTGTTGGGGTCGCACTCATTTTCAGACGCAGCTCGAGACTTACTACGCGCAGTTGTGCTTGGGTGTGCTCTCTGCTGCTCTGGTGCCTTCCACTCACAGGCTGCAGTGCAGCTGCAGTGTGCTGGGCCTGTGTGACCGGGGGCTGTTCTTGTCTTTTCCGTGGCTGACGTGGACACTGACTTGTTCACAGCTTGCACTGAAATGTTTTTTTCAGTTGTGTTCAAATTTTTTCATTTTCCTTCTTTTTATCTTTTTGAGACAGGGTCTCACTATGCGGTTCAGGCTGGCCTCGAACTCACAACGATCCTCCTGCCTCAGCCTCCCAAGTGCTGGGATTACAGGCGTGCGCCACTAGGCCTAGCCAAAATGGTTTTAAGATGTTAGGTTCTTCAGAGCTGCCATCTCAGTGCTTTTGGAGATAAACCAAGATGATAAGTAAAAATTTCAAGACTGTATGCAGACCAGGAAGTAAGAGGTTGGGGGTGATGTCTTGGGTTTTTGACACAGGATCTCGCCATATAGTCCAGCCTGGCCTTGAACTCACCGTGTAGCCCAGGCTGGCCTTGAACTCGCAGCAGTCCTCCTGCCTCAGCCTCCCAAGTACTTGGATCAGAGGCATGAGCTATGTCTGGCCGGAAATAGGAGATTAAGCTTTTCTTCAGAGGGAAAGCAAGTAGCAGTCTTCTGCAGATTGTTTTGTTTTTGAGTACTGGGGGTCGAATCCAGGCCCTTGGCCCTAAGGTACATCCCCAGCGCTTTTATACTTACCACTGAGCTCTTTGCATTTTTTGAGACGGTCTTTCAAGCTGCCCAGCCTGCGTCCTAACTGCCTTTCCTCTATCTCAGCCCGTGCAGTACCAGGGTCACAAGCATGGGCCCTCCGCCTGCCCCAGGATACTACACGTTTTAATGGCTCCTCATGCTCCCCATTTTTATTTTGCTCAGATTATTCAGCCTTTACTTTATGCATCTCCGAAAGGTCTTACAGGAACCCCAAGAAAAACCACATGTATTTCATTACTTATTATAAAGCCTCAGTAAAGGAAGAACAGTGACATAACTCTAAGCTACAGAGGTGCCGTTAACCGGTCTTCAGGGTCTCTGAGGACCACTTCCACCACCTCAGAGGGTGGAAATGTCTCTTCACTTCTATTACAGCTGATTTGAATATTTTCAAGCAAGGAAATAACTAGCAGCTGCGGTAAAATTGCACATAAGTAATGACTGTCAAATAATGATCGGAGTGAGTAGTAGATACTTTGTTTGTAAAGCACACATAGTAACCGTAGACTGTGGTTACACTGGACCAATAGCAGGAGTAACTTCTTCCGCTAGCTTGGCTGTTTTCTCCTCTTACAAGTTGCTCAGCTGAAGGAACTGAGTTACTGACAAGATAGGGAAACTAGTCTGTAGTTACCACTGGAAATTAAAACTCACTGTTCCTGAGGGGAGTCGGATCCTCTACGCTGCCCTTTCGTCCACTGGGGTTACAAGTGGATGCCATTTAGAGAGACCGTTTTTAGTCTTTTAGATTTTACTTTGTATTAATAATTATGTCAACAGGCATTAAGTTGCTTAAATCATTTAATATGTACTGTAGAGGTGTTTCGAATGAAGAAAATTTTATGTATGATACTTCTGTTTTGTTCTCAAATTAAGGCAATATTCTTTGAGAATCTCTATTTTAGACCCTAGCTTACCACTTTAAGGGTTTAGAAGTATATTAAGTGATAGATCGTGTGTTGTAGCAGGCAGACACGGCATTGATAAGTTAGTTTATTTACTTATTTATTTTTTAGTTTTTGGACTCAGGGTCTCACTGTGTAGTTCAGGCTTGTCTTGAACTCACTGTGCAGCCCAGACTGCCCTCCATCTCACGGCAGTCCTCCTGCCTCAGCCTCCCAAGTGCTGCCAGGGTTACAGGTGCGCACCACCACGGCCTGCCGTTACATCCTTTTATCACCACAACCACCTGTGCAGAACGTGATGGCTTTCCATCCATGATCTGTCCACGGTGAAACAGCACAGCCTTAGAGGAGTAGGTCGCAAGATGATTTATAAATAGAGGATTAAAGATAATGAAGAAAAATAGAAGCTTCAAAGAGAAATTACAATATGAGGGTAAAATTATGTAGTACCTGAGACCGCAGTCCTCGGAGATACCCTGGCAGATGGTATTCTCAGTTTGAGGTCCGACTGAAGATTGTTACACACTCAGAGGCAAAGCGGGCAGACTGGCTGGGATTCGTACCGCGTGCCTGTAAGCGCCGCACCCTGGGAAACTGAGGCAAGAGGAGCACAAGTGCCTGAGCAACTTCATGAGACTCTCTCAGAATAAATGTAAAGGGGCTGGGGGAAGTTCGATGTGAAGGCCCTAGTGACAGGGCCCACTATCAGCAACAGAGGAGCTAGTAAGCCGTGGGTTAGGGAAGAGAAATCGCACCTCCTGACCCTCACCCAGGAGTCTCTCCAAGAGTGATGTCTAACAGAATGGTTCTCAAGTCTGCTTGCACAGCTTTCCGAGAGAGGTTTGCAGAAGTGCTGATGGCCTGAGCCACCCTCAGAGCTTCTCACTTAGTAAGTCTGTGGCGAGTGCTGGTGCTTGGTGCTCTCGTGCTGCTATTGCGCAGTGAGTGGTGACTCGTGGAAAGTCTGACAGGGAAAGTTAAGAACCCGAGGACTGAGACCGGATGTGCCCGCTGCTGGGCGGTGCCGCGGTCGGAACTGCTGAAGTTACAAGGGCCTTTCACGTTGTGTGTGCCTAAGAGTTGCTGAAGGTTTGGAGAGATTTTGAGAGCACAGCTGAAGGGCCGGGGGGCTGCGTGGACGGCTCTGTAGTAGAGTGCTTGCCTGGCACGCCCAGGGTCTGGGGCTCAATCTCCAGCACCACAGGGGATGAAAGACATTTTCTTCAAAAATGCCAGCAAAGAATAACTCAGTGATCTTTTTTAATTGTTATTATGGAAATAATATCTTTGATGTAAGTTTTTTTTTAGTTCTAGTATCCAAAGTAATGGTGACAGTCTGTATAGATACTATAACACTTGTTTATTTGAATTCTAATTGAATTCCTGTCAGAAATCTCAGGAAAACAGATTTAAATCAAACCTAGTGATTAAAATAACGATAGTATAAAATTGAAAACAGTGACAGATGTCATGTCTTTCCATCTTTAACCTCGGTAACGAATACAGTACTCGGCATATGGTAGGTTCCCGTCAGATTTTGGACTGCCTTGAGACGGGGTCTTGCTCTGTAGATCAGGCTGTGACCCAAACTGGCTGTGAAGTTGCGGTCAGGTGCTGGAATTACAGGCGCGCCGCCATACCTGGCTAAATTTTAGACAAATTTATGACCTGAGTAGATTCTGTGACATTCCATAGAACTACTAGAATATGTACTAGTGTGATTTTATAAGCTTCTTATATTATAAATTTTAAATGAATAGTTGAAAGAATAATTTCCTAATGAGTAGAGCGGACTTTCTCTCAATATCATATGTTTTGTTGTAGGACCTATACAAATCTGCCTTCTTTTATTTTGAAGGAACATTTTACAATGATAAAAGATACCCAGAGTGCAGAGATTTGAGCAGGTATAGTTTCCAAAAAATTTTCCCCAAGTATTTCATATTTCTGCTTTCTAAAGTAGTGATATCTCCACACATCATATTATTAAACATCTTTAGAATTGTTTATAAATTTTGTATTCAACATTACATGCATCTACAAAAATTAGGTATTAATCTCTGGTGTTTAGGTGATAGTGGTAAATTAATTGCTCACTGATTTTTCTGCTGTTTTATGTCCGGGGTGAATGGACATAACGGTGTTCGCTTAGGTGTATCACATGTGAAAGTGGCCTGAGAGTAAGTACATATGTATATTTTTTGAGTGCTTTTATAAAATGTTTTCAGTATGGCCACTTTTTATATTCTAATGCAGTTTTCATACTTGGTCCTCACCTCCTTGATAGTAGAATTAAGGACTCCAAGGAGGTCTTGTGTGTATAGTTACGAGTACTTGTCATATTAGAAATTGAAACTAAAAGTATATTTGTTTCATCTCATGATGTTAACACTTTTGTGAAAAATACTGTCCACAATAAAATGTGTTCTGTTAAATATTTTGCAGTGAAGCCAAAGTGGTACACAGAACACCGCCTCTAGAAAACGGATGGTTTATTAGATAGTATTACTACAGAGATAGGTTGGATGTCGGGGACCACACTGTGAGAACCGCTTCTCTAATATGTGAAGAAAAGTGCGATGTTCTTAACCGCGGAATGCACCAGCCAACGTGGTCTTCCCGTAAAGACAGCAATTATCCAGTTAATTGGGCCAGCCAGATTACGTAAAATGCTGCAGTCATAACTCTCCTTTGTAAAGTTTTTGTGGAGTAATGATGAACCCTTGCCTTTTTCTTCCCTCAGAACTATCATTGAGTGGTCAGAGTCTCACGATAGAGGCTATGGAAAGTTTCAGACAGCTAGAATGGAAGATTTCACCTTCAATGACCTGAACATTAAACTGGGTTTTCCTTATTTGTACTGTCACCAGGGAGACTGTGAACATGTTGTTGTCATTACAGACATAAGGTAGGTGGCAGCACTCAGAATACTTTCTCATTCTGCTTTTGTTTTTCTCATTCACAATATAAAAAGTACAGATAAAACTGGAGGTGTACCTCAGTGGTAGAGGCCTTGCCTTGTATACCCTAGCTTCAACCCCAAGACGCAAAAAGGAGGAAAAATAAATATTTTTAATAAAAGGAATCATCACTACAGCTTGCACTGGAAGTAGCAAAACATTCTGTTTTCCTTGGCATGACCAGCTCTTTCTTTGGATCCATTTGTATCCTCTATTGTGAGGTTTTTGGAAAAATATGTAAGAAATATTTTACTATTAACTAGAGGGTTAAAAAAGATCTATAAATTACGTTTGCCAGTGTGTATCTCTTATTCAGATGGTGCTGTCCATTTTGTGTATCATGTAGGCCGTCTGCTTTACAGATTTGCAACTGTACTCCTAAGCTGCATTTTTTTCCCTTCCTTCTCCCTCCCTCCTTCCTCCCATTTCCTTTGTTTGGGGTACTGGAGGTGAGTCCCAGGCTCTGGCATAATCTGAGGCAAGTGCTCTGCTACTGAGCTACATCCCCAGCCTTATTCCTAAATTTTTTTGTCGTTTTATCAGAATATAAAGAAATAAAGGAGAATTGAGGGAAGAAAATTCTAGTATTTGACAAATGTGAATACTTAAATGCTTTGATAAAGATTAAAATTGGGCAGGAGATAAAATAGTGTAACAGGATTTGGTTGTTAGCTCACTATTTTGTAGAGATGCCGGCTCTTTTTCCCCATAGGACTATGTTCATTTCCTCATTGGGAAATCTTCATTTAAGAAGGACCAAGCCGGGCGTGGTGGCGCATGCCTGTAATCCCAGCACTGGGGAGGATGAGGCAGGAGGATCATTGCGAGGTGAAGACCAGCCTGGGCTACAAAGTGAGCTCAAGGCCAGCCTGAACTGCATAGCGAGACCCTGTCTCAAAAAGACAAAAAAAAAGGACCGATATGTAGGAATAAACCCTGCTATATTGGTGATTTCATTCTGAAAGACCATTTTAAGTTCTTAGTGATATGACAATATTTTTATTACACCAGTAAAAGAAACGGATACTTTTAGAAAGTCTCTTTCAATTTTGGTTCTTTATGGCCAGTCTCCAAAATTTTATGTCCTATATGCAATTATTCTCAGGATGCTACCACAGAAAGTACTTCACTCAGAGCGGAGTAACCCATGATAAAGATGTGGGTATAATGCAGAACAGGTAATAAGACGGAGTATTCTCAGAATGATGGGAAAGTGAAATCCCAATGTGATGGCTGTTTATCAGTCTAGACAAGAGTTTGGTCCAGAGGCTGGAGCAAGATGCCTATAAGAACTCAGGAAGAATGTCTGGGGAGGAAATGGGAACACCAAGATCTCCTGTTGGTGTTCAACCTCTATGGGCTGTTACGTTTGCCATTCAGTCAAAAAACAGTGACAGGGCATTGCAAATGAAGCAAGTGCAAAGAGATTTAACAGCTGGAAAACAAAATATTACACAGTAAAATGAAAGAGTAGTCCATGGTGTGGTTTAGGTGCAAGTATAATTAATTCATCATAATTTAAAATTAAATATTCATGAAAATGATTATTCTATAGAGGGAAGTCAAGTAAATTTTTTTTAAAGTTAACAGCAAGCTAGTCCTGGTCATGCCTGCACATAATCCCAGCACTTGAGAAGGCTGAAGCAGGATTACAAGTTCGGGCCCAGTGTGGGGTACTTACTAAGAAGAATGGTGAGGCAGGAACCAGCAGAGCACATACATTTCAGGCTCTGTGACCTCTGAGAGCTTTACAGTACATTTGTGTCTCTAACAGGACTACCTTTTGTGTAATCCGTGCTTCCTGTTCTTCTGTTGAAATGAGGAGAAACGTGCCTGCCCCATAAACACAGTGTGGAGAGAGGCTGGGGCGGGGCATGGCTCAGCAGTAGCTCGTCCACACGCCTGAGGTCCTAGGTTTGGTCCCCAGCACCCACAGGAAATAGAAATAAACACCACTGTTCTGTATTGCAAATACGTAGTAATAAGCTAAGATGTCTCCCCGCAAAGTAAGGCCCAGGACCCAAGTGTCTTCATTGCTGTTTTCTACCAAACATTTAAAGAACTAATACTAGTTCTTCTCAAACTGTTCAGAAGACTGAAAAGGAGGGAATCCTTCCAGATTCATTTTATCAGGCCAGTAATACACTGATACCAAAGCCAGACAAGGACACAACCACCCCAAGAAAACTACAAGAGAGTATCCCTGATGAACGTGCTGTAGCTGTGGAAAACCTCAACAGAAGATTATCAGGGTACATTTAGCAGCACGTCAGTAACATCACTTAGCACATCAAGAGCGATTCGCACTAAGGATGCAGGGGTGCCCACATACATAAATTGGTAAACATGATCTGTACCTGCTCGAGTCACTAAGCGTGGTTGTGGCAGTTACCTGAGAAATTATTTCTGATCTGATTTTTTTCTAAAACCTTATTCATTTGCTTTGTTGTTAGCACTTCAGAGGGTCCAGGTGGGCGGCTTTCAGAGTGTCCCACCTCGCTGCCCCCTGGCTTTGCCTTTGGTGAACTGGTGTCTGAGGTTGCATCTTGTCTTGTTTTCTCTCTTCCTTTCTCTGTCTCTCTCTCTGCTAGTATTTAGAACCCTTAGGAAATGATTCCTTCTCCCAGGTATCTTCCAGGTGTAGCTGCTTTTTGGGCTTTGAGTCTGTTGCAAGATTCTACCTCTTCAGTTTGTTGGGGATGAGAAGTTGCTGCCTGCTTTGCTTGGCTCTTTGGCACTGTGCCACAGTATTCTCTGTGACCCGTAGTCAATCTCAGTCTTGGAATCCCAGGAAGAACAGCTGTTTAGAACAGTTACGTCACTTTTGGCTAAAGCGGTGCCATCGGCAATGACAGCAGCGTCAAACACAGCCTAGGAAATGACAAGCTGAGGGAGCATGGATTTGCCGCCTCTAACTGCGTGAAGTGGGTTTGTGGTGAGACGAAATCTGAAACCAGAAAATTATATTTAGGGTGTAAGTACTTAATATGTCCATTTTACCCTCTGGGGTTAAAACTGAAAAGGAGTTAGGGAAAAAGAAGTAGAAGAAGGGAAGAGATTAGAAGTAAGGCCAGAGGACAAAGGATCACACTAACTTTGAGAAACTGGTGCAGAAGACAGGAGGAAGAGAAGGGAGAAAGAACAGGAAGAGCTGAACAGAACAGCCACCACAGAGAGGCTGGAAACTGTGCTTACACTCATAAAGACAAGACCAAACAATGAAGAAGGAAAAACCACAACAAAAGCAAACCAGAGAGAAAAAAGAAAGTCCGCTTCCAGGTGTGTCTCTGTCGTCGCTGTAGATGCGTGTGAGGCAGAGTCCAGATCTGCGTTGCTTTGTCCCAGCACGCCAGCAGTAGCTTTATGGCGGGGTGCTGGATAATCTCAGCGAGCTGCACCCTTAGTTCCCCTGGAGTTCGGGCTGGCTTCTGGCCGTGGCGGCCGAGATCAGACCCTTTTGTCCCTGTAGCAGTCTTTCTGCGGGTTTGAGCTCAGCTGGAAGCCACCAGATGGACCCCGCAGTCCTGAGTGCCGAGCTCGGCCGGCCCCCCTCCAGGAAGGCTCTCCCGCGGGACGACTGAGCAGCACTCCCTCCGCTGGTTTGGTCCCTCACGTCCACTGCTGCGTCTCTCCAGGGCCTCTGGGTCCAGCGGTCACCCTGTGCCCCCGGGGCTGAAGCTCTCCTTCCACGCAGTGCGTCCCCACTAGGTGCCGGCGGCCTCCTTCCTTGAAGTTTCTCTCTTCCCTCTCTCTGTGGGTTTCAGTTTGCACTTCAGATCCTTCCTGGGTCCAGGGGACCCACTTCTCTCCATGTCTTCCTGGCATTGCCCCAGTCCAGCGTGTGGCCGGCAACACTCAGGCTCTTTGCTGCTTACCACTCCCACCATCTTCCTGGAAGTAAATCACAGTTTCTCTGCTTTACTTCCTCTCAGAAGTTTTTAACAAAAACATCAACACCAGAAGAATCTAGAGGGTATCCTCCGGATTCTGCCGTCACTTCACCTTAGTAGGAAAACCTGGAGCTAGCAGCGCCGTGCCAGTTCTTTCACATGTTACGTTATGTGTGAAGGTGTGGTATCTCAGTGACCCTCGGTAAACATCGTGTTAACAGAATCAAGGAAAAAAAACACACTAACATCGCAGTAGGTGCATAAAATGCACTAGATGAAATTCAGCATCCGTTAACGATTGGAACCCTCAACAAATTAGATACAGCTGGAATGTTCGTCACCCAAGTTAACGCCTGTGGTCCCTAAATCAGAAGGAATTCAGTATAGGAAGTGGTTTACTTTGCTGAAGTGCAAGTTAGGAATCTGAAAAGGTGACAGTATGACACCAGAGATTAACAACAGCAGGCTGTAAGTTTAAGCACTTTTCACTTCAAAATGCACCGTTAAATTGTTTTTTAAGAAAGGAACATGATCCATCATTCTCTGATGGTCTTGGTCAGACTAAAGATGAAAAACATAGTTAAGAGGGAACAGCTTAATAAAGCAGTGGTAAAAAGAAACAGTTACCTGTCAGTGCTAAAGAAAAAGCAACTGTTAAAGAATTTGCAATGTTAGTTTTGCTGGGAAATCTTTATAGGTAATTTCAGTAAGTCATTTTCATCTTATAGGTAAATTTGATCATTTCAAGCACCGCTGTGCAGTACCAACTGTCAAAAGTTAAAACATTTTTTATGAAGTTTCATATATTGCTACCCTTATTTTAAAAAAAAAACAAATTACAGAATTGAGTGGGACCTTTAGGATAAACTTGTGCCGTCCTCTCATGGTTTAAGGAATTTACCCCAAAGCATGCAGCTGATTAGTGGGAGTGGAGAGGGACTTCCGTTTAGTTTCTTAACCCTTCATTTTGTGATTCTGACATTTATAATTAAGCCTTACAAATTCAGATCAGGAACCAAATTCGGGTTTTTCATAAAGATGACAAGAAAAGCAAGAACCATGTAACAACCAGCCAGTCTAGGTAAAATATCACTGGGTAGTTTTGCTCAAACTACATTCCATATGGTGCTAAGTGTTAAGTAAAGCAAGGATTTTCTGATGGAATACATCCACGAAACACTGACTACTTCCTCTTAGGTTACAGTGCCTGTAGCATACAGAGCTGAGAAGTCTTTGTTTGATGCAGAATGTACTTTGTAGAAAGAAAGAATTTGGGGAACACAATTTGATCAAACCTGCTGTAACAAGTCAGTTTACCTAATTTTTTTTTGTTTGCTTTTTTTCCTTCCCTGAGATGGTCTCGCTATGTAGCTCAGGCTGGCCTTAAATTCATTATGGAGACTTGGCTGGCTTCGACCTTGCAGTGATCTACCTGCTTTAGCCTCCTGAGTGCTGGGATTACAGCTGTGCACCACCACACCTGGCCCTTACCTAAAATGGTGTGAGCGAAACTTGAAAAAAAGAAATACTGTGTTCCTAAAGGACAGATGTGTTTAACTGTTAGATATGTCATAAAAACTTGCACCATCATATCTGAATTTTATTTTCTCTGGAACAAAAGGCTTGTGCATCATGATGACTGCTTGGATAGAACACTTTATCCTCTTCTCACCAAGAAACACTGGCTGTGGACCAGAAAATGCTTTGTTTGTAAAATGTATACAGCTAGGTGAGTGATCATTTCTTGTTTTCATTGAGAAGAGTAGGTCCGGCTACAAGGCTGAAACAGCGCTTTAAGGAGCCATGTTCTCTCTTGCCTGTGGTTCACAAACCCAGCTTCATCCCACAGCTTTCCCTCTGGAGAAGACTACCCTAGCACTTCACATGCAACGAGGTTTTCCTTTATATTGTTTGCTGTTTAGACTGTAAAGTCTGTCTCAGTGTACGTCACAGAGTGTATGGAAACTGCTCAGAGGGAGGAATTGCGTGTCTTCAGTTTGTTTTGGGTTCCGTACCACAATCCGCTTTTCTATAGAGTCAAGATTTTCAAAATGAAAATCAAGGGCTGTTCAAAGCAAACACCCCATGAAATACAGAATTCAGTTGGACTGGAAAATAGTATTTTCACCTCACTGTGACAAGTAACATCTTGGGTCAAAAACAATCTCACTCAGATGAAAAGTGTTGCCCATGTTCTGTTCATATACTCTACATCTGAGCGTTTATCCTCCGTGCATGTTTTCAGGGTAACCAGTACTGTTACCAGTGACTAGCTGCCGTAGCACTCATTTTGGCAGCACACGTACTAAGCGGAAGCTGGACGGAGGTTAGCGTGGTTCCTGCATGAGGATGACACTGAAACTTCTTGAAGTGTACACGTTTCCCCACAGCGCAGTAAGGTAGCTAGAGCCTACAACAGTGAGATATATCTTGAAATAACTAGAAGTCTGAAGATTCCCAGCATACACAAATGACAGTCTGAGATATAAATACTTCTGACTTGTTCGTTGTGCACATATATATGTATTGGAATATTGTACACTGTAAATATGTGACTAGTATGCATCAATTGAATGAAATTTTATAAAAATCTGTATTAAGCAAAAGTGTATTAGCCCTGTAGCAATTATTTTTATTATGAGTTTTCCAGACTGCCTAAGAAAGTAACTATCCTACTTGGAGATCAGTGATAGCACGGCAGATGTAGGATGTTCTCGGGTTCAGGTTTAGTTTACTTATACCGTGTTTAAGAAATTGAATGCTACAGAGAAGCGGCACCCTGTAATGCTTCCTAGTACAGACACCGTTACAGTGTATTCATGTAGACCAGTGAGACAGCAGTGTGCCGTTAACCTATTACTGCAGGTTGTGGATTACAGCATCATGGAAAAACCTGATTGTAATGATGTACTTCTCTTCTTAAAAACTACAGATGGGTGACGAACAATGACAGTTTTGCACCAGAGGACCCATGTTTCTTTTGTGACGTTTGCTTCCGAATGCTCCATTATGATTCAGAAGGCAACAAACTAGGGGAATTCCTTGCTTATCCTTATGTTGATCCTGGAACCTTTAATTAAAAAAAGGTCCAATGATTCATAAGTATTTTAAATTCTATAGTATTTATTCATTTATTTTTACTTGCTTTTTACTCATTTTAAGTGGGTTAACCCACTTAATGAAATATAGAAGTCGTTTTATATATTGATTCTGATTCTATATCTTAAGTGATTTTTGCTAATGACAGAATTCAATTCATGACATCACGTGGTGGTAAAAGTTTTGAAAATATGTTTGAAGAATGAGAACTACACCTACCAGGACGTTTCCAAGGTAAAAGATTCTTCAAATGGCGGTAGTAAAAAGTTAGGGAGAATACATAAACAAGACAAAATAATTTCATAAGTAATGTAAGATAGCTGTTGTATAATTTAATTGCATAGTGAAGATCTTTCATGATTTAGGTTTTGGTTTGATAGAAAGTAGGCATACAAGACATTCTTAATGTAGGAAGACCTTAAGTATAGACCCCTACTGCCATTCACCAAAGTATTACTTAACATGAAGCCTCACTTGACCAACTTTTTATGTATCACATGTACCAAATTTAAAATGTCAATATAGTATGATTAAAAGAAAACCTCTGGGTCACTTATTTCTGGGGCATTAAACTGTTGAGTATGTAACATTATTCTGTAAGCACAGAAGGAAGTGCTCTTCGCTGGCCCGGCTCCTCTGTTCTTCCAGTCCTTTTACCATAATTCTAGTTACACTCTTCTGAGCCAGAGAAAAACGAAACTTTTAATTTTTAGTACATTTCCTTATGGAAATACTTTCAGGAAACCTTACTTGATACTGTAATGCTGTTTAATTTGGGGGGCAGGGTGTTGCTCTGTAGTTGAGCACCTTGAAGTTACAGTAGTCCTCTTTCTCCGTCTTGCAAGTGCTGGGATTTCAGGTGCGCATCATGCCTGGCTGTTTGTTTTTAAGCATGCTATAAAATATATTTAAAGTTTCATTCTCTCTCCTAGGTTATTTTTGAAATTCAACTGAATTCCATATTTCTCTGGATGGCTAAGAACACTTACCATATAAATAAAAACTCATGAAGCCTGTAAGACTGTTTGAATGGTCTTAAAGTGGGACATATTGTTAAGTTGGTATGGAAATCACAAGTACCTGTTTCTGGTATGTCTAGTGATGTTTAAATTCCCTGATTCAGTCAGTAGAGATGAGCATAGGTAACTACGAGGCCCCTCCCCTCCATGGCTGCCTTACACTGTGTCTAAATTCGTTTGTGTCCAGTGCTACTGACAGTGGACAGATTGAAAAGGCTGAAAAACCACAGATGGGAGGTGGGAGTGATTTACCCTACTCAAAGTCTAGAGGTGAAACTCATTTTTGTTCCCTTCGTGTTTGTATACTGCATTTTAATATGCAAGGATCTGTTTCCTCTGACGCACTTGTGTTTCATACTGTCACAGCAGCAAATTCCAGAAAGTTCTTTATCATGACAGTCTTCCATGTCTGAGGCTAGTTTCTACTGTGCTGGAATTCTTGTTGTACCACTTACTGAGAATGTTACTGTGCTAGTTCTTTAGGTTAACTTTTTCACCAAAGCCGCGGCTATCACTCTCGCACTGTTTCCTGGTGAAACTGAGAGGAAAGGCTAAGCAGATTACACCGCCACCTGCCAGTGTGTTACTCGTCAGCAGCGTGCATATACACCAACGTCGAGACATCCCCAACTTTGTATAGTATTTGGAGCTGTAAAACTCCTAATCCAAGACAGCTTTTTAATGCCCATTTCAATTCAGCACACACAGCAGGACTGTTAAATTACTTGTGTCATTTCATCGTAAAGAGAAGCAGACATGAAAATGTCATCCTGAATGTGTCCATGGCCATCTTGTGTAGTTAGAAATGAATTCGATTCTGATACAACAGTACATGAATACGAAGGGTCATTAACACTATTCCCAGGCTGATAATTGGAAATGTTAATTTTACTGCAGGAAAGGTCAATCATCTCTACCATGTGTTATACAACACAAATATAAGCACATTTCTTCCTACTATAGTAGCTTCATTCCTTAGGAATGTGAAGATGTTGGTTTGCTTTCCTTTTTTTTCCCCCTGGTTTTTTGAGACAGGGTCTCACTACATTGTTGAGGCTGGCCTTGAACTCACTGTGTGGCTAGCCCGGGCTGGCCTGAAACTCACAGGTGTTCCTCCTACCTCAGCTTCCTGAGTGCTGGGATTGCAGGCATGCACCACCATGCCCACCCCAGGTTTGTTATTTTTAATAGGGCAAAACTTGTTCAGAGCTATAAAAGCCTTGGCTCTCAGTACAGATTAAACGGCATACCTCATCTTCATCCAACATCTTCTACCAGGTAAGTGGGTATGAGTAGGAACATTTTTAGTATATATATCACTGCATCAATTAAGACTTGGTAATGTCGCTAACACTATTTGAAATCACTAGCTATAATAGAAATTGTATGGCTTTAGGTACTGTGGCCAAATTGTTTCCAGGCAGGTTCTCAGATGGTATACGTAAAATTTCTTCAAGGACCTTTAGGCAGTTAAAGCTTCTTAAAAAAAAAACAAAGAAACTGTACCCAAACATGCTAAACAGAAGTCTGCTGATACATTCATTTTATATATATATAAAAGCCGTTTCACTGATCTGTTCATAGGTGGATTTATAACCAAATACAACAATTTCAGTTGAGCCAGAATTCGTAAGAAATCTTACGTAAGAAATCTTACGAGCTCTGATACCTATGAATCAGCTTATGACAAGGCAGATAGGCAGCTATGCTTCAAGAGAACAGCAGGCAGTTTATCCAGGCAGTCACACATTATCATCCCAGTGCTGCTCCCACAGCCACAAGCTGACTGGTTTGCAGTTTCTTGGGTCACAGGAAAAAGAAACAGCATTTCCATTCTTTTTACCAAACTGAGTTTAGTGCTTAGTTAAACCCTGTATTTATCCCCATATGACAGCATTTCCTCAGCAGCAAATCCCCAGTTCCTTTTACTCTTCTAAAAATAACAAGTAATTTACCAACAGAGTTTGATAGAAAAGTTCTTTAATCGAAACAAGTTTACACATCAACACTTATGGCTTAACTAGAATAAATCTGTCCAAAACTCTTATTACGGACAAGACAAATAATGAGTGATATATATATAACAGCAGAGTTCCCTCAAAACAGCAGGTCTTAACTCTATTCTAAGACCTCTTAAAAGTAAAAATCCAATAACTGAAATAATTCAAGTATTTTATGTACAGATGCAAACAGCTGAGAGGTCAAAACATACAATGCAAGTCACACACAAGCACTGGTATCAAGTCGTTTTCCCATATTCATAAAATTTTAAAACATAACAAATCTACTTATTGAAAACCATCAACTGACCAAATATTTAAAATACCTTAGGAATATTATCCTTTAGTTAATAAACTCTTAACTTCGTGCTAATGTTGGTTCACCCTGATTTAGTCCATATACATCAAAATATAAGACTATAGTCAGGGTTGTCTTGGAACAACTGACGTTTCTACTTTTTTGCAATCCTGTTATGTGTATATGATAGAAAAATGAAAATACAAATTCCCTTCTAATATAGCGATGTTTTCAAATAGCTTAACTTTTTCATATAGCATTTATTTATATTTACCACATAGGCATCACAGATCGATTTTTTTCCAATTAAAAAAATACTATTTGTGACTTACTGTGACTTAAGACATTTCTCAAAAATAAACACTAGTGCCTTGTAAAGGATCTCAGATGGCAGAACCCTAAAATGAGCCTTATTCTTGTATGTACCCAGTCTGTTCTCTGCAGGGAAGCGGGATGTCTTCACTGAATTCCCAACCACAAAACTAAATTTCCTCCTAAAGTTAACAAGAGTTTTTTGTACCTTACAGAACCATCAGTTCAATGTCCACTGACTATCTAGTTGTCATACAAAGGAGTGTTGGGCCACACAATGTTTCAAAGAAGCAGGATAATGTTGCACAATGATATTAAAATTAACTTTTGATAAAAAGGAAGGAGTGAGGACTAGTATAGAAGTAACATTTTATCAACCATAAAAATGCTCAACTTCTACAAAACCCACAGTGAAAAGACAGTCTGGTAAATCCAAGATTTGTAAAAACTATGCACAAAACCCACGGAATCTGAGAAAAGGGGAAATATTTGTACAAGTAGCAGTTTTAAAAATGTAACTCTGTTCTATGAATTACACATTAACATACACACACTAACTGAAAATATGCTACAACCATGTCTGGAAAAGTAGTTCAACATTTTCTAAGTGGATTTCACCCCACATTCACTGTATAATATAGCTGTTAATACTGCACAAGTACAATTAGCAATAATGTTTAATAACTTTTAAACAAAGATAATGGGATTTTCTCCCTTAAGTTTTAAACATCAAAACCTAGCTTATAAAAATTTAAAACTTTCAGCAGTCTAAATATTTCAAATGAAAACTATTACAAACTTCTCAAATGCTCTTTATATTTCAGATACTGTGTATCAACCTAGTTATCTGCCGTAGACTCCTTCAGAGATACTTCGGTCTCTCTCTCTTCAATGGATGGCCTAAGGGCAGAAAATGTGTGACAACTGGGATTAAGATTTTCTCCCGAGAAAATCGGTGCATTACATTTTTTAAATCATAAAACATCAAAACAGATCCTTAAGACACTGTCATTATGCCTTGTTCAGAACTTTTTAGCATATTGTCTTTCCAAAATAACATACAGATCAAGATAACTCCAGGAAATACTATTCTTTTTAAAGAGATTTAAACTAACATGGTATTTGTGACACCAACAGATTATAAATTAGAAGTCCAAAAAAAAAAAAAAAAAAAATTAGAAGTCCAAATCCTTCAAATGAGTAAGACTAGTAACTACAGTTTTACAACTGTTTTAAGGTAGAGCCAATTATAGTATAAAATTACCCGTCATTCCATATTATACATTAAAAACTACATATGGAGCCAGGTGTGGTAGCATATGTCTGTAATTCCAATACTTAGGAGGCTGAGGCAGGATGATCACTGTAAGTTGGAGGCTGGCCTGGGCTACATAGTTCAAGGCAGGCCTGGACTACATAGCAAGACCCTGTCTTAAACAATAAAACATAAAATAAAAATTTCATATAGAATCATTTTAATATTAGAAGGTAAAATCCTTTCTATTTAAGTGTGAAAGCAACTCAACATTAATAAAACAGAAAAGAAATCTTGCCTTTTGGGTTTTTTGTTATTTCCCAGGCCTTAACCTGAGCTCTAACAGTGAGCCCTAGAACCCCTCTTTAATTTGCAACTCGCTTATTATACTAAAGAATCGAGCACTCAAAATACAACCCACAGTGGTACTTGGGAAAGTAAGGCAGGACCATGAGTTGGGCAACAGCAAAAACCTCATCCCCAAAATTTTGTTTTTGAAAAGAGAAACGTGTGAAGAACCACTGAAACATATCCTCACTTTTTCTTACTGCCAGCTTCGTGGCTGTCTCTGCTTTCTTCACTGCTGTCTCCGTTATGCTGCGGCTGATTACTGTCTTGGGCATCAGATCCTCCATTTAGAGTCTTTGAACCTTTAGGATTTCAAATAGAAAAACTGTTAGAAGCTCGTAAAATAATACTTTTAGGAGCGCTCCGAAGATTCAAAATAAAACATGGACCTTAAGTTCCAGTAAGTCCTTTACTTGAAATCATACTGTGTTTCAACCCTCTCAGGAATGTTAGGATTGGGTTTTGATGATAGGAAACAGTACTAATGGCTTCATTAGAGAGCAATACTGTCAACTCCCTAGTACCACCACGGTCCTTTGTATGCCTATGGTCCAGAAAAGAGCAGGTTTACTGCATGTACTTATTGGTAAAGGAATTAGATGATTAATGTGATTATTTAGCATATGACGACTAATTTTTGCTTCTTGGTCTCACTGTGCAGTTCAGGCTGGCCTTGAGCTCACTTTGTAGCCCAGGCTGGTCTCGAACTCACAAGTATCCTCCTGCCTCAGCCTCCAGAGTGCCTGGATTACAGGCATGCATGCGCCACCTCGCCAGGCTTACCAAC